GGCCCACACCCGCCGCTGCGGCAGCAGCAGCAATCCAGCGAAGAGGGCGGGCCGGGGGCGCGGCGTCCAGGGCCGCTGCGCCCCAACCCGCTGCCCCTCGGAATGCAGATGCGCACCCTGCGGGAGCAGCAGCTGGCGCGCCAGCAGCAGCTGCTGCAGGAGCAGCAGCGGCTGCGGGCGCCGGTGATGGCCGCAGCGGCGGCGCCGCAGCCGCTTGCGCCTGCGGAAGAGGTGATGCGGGGCCTGCAGCAGCAGCAGGAGGCGGCGGCGGCGGCTGCGGCGAGCGAGGCGAATGATTGGTCGCGGGAGCAGCAGGATGCGTTGCAGGTGAGCCATTTGCTTGGGGGTGCATGCATGTGAGCTTGGGCTGGGCGTGTGGGCGCGTGCATGCTTGCATGCAGCAGCACGTGATAAGACAGTGAGCAGCAGCGTCGCTCACCGCACCTTCTGACTCGCCACTAAGTGCTCCGCGCTCGGCAGCCGCCGCATGCGGCGCTCGCCTGAGCGCTGTTCCCATCGCGATCGCGACCCCTCCCCTTCAAGTCGTCTCTGCCTCACGCCTCATCGTACTCACAAAACTCCTGCGATGCCTGGGCGCGTCGCCACAATCTGACAACCCTTACAACCCCTGCTCACCCCCTCCCCCGAACCCAGGCTGCGTACTGCCAGGTGGCCCCCACCCACCCCTGCTTCTGGGCAGAGGTTGCCGCGCGCGTCCCTGGCCGCAGCGCGGCCGAGTGCTTCTCGCGGATCTTCGAATCCGTCAGATCACCCCAGGGCCGCGCGCCGAAGCGGCGCGCGCCGCCCGGCGCTGGCGCTGGCGCGGGCGCCGCGGCGCTGGTGGGCGGCCGCGGTTGGGCGGAGGGGCGTCTGCGGCCTCGGGGTGCTGTGCAGTCTGCCACGGCTGCACTGCATGCAGCGTGTCCCCCATCACAGCGCCTTGTCCAGTCGTTCACACAATGCGTCGATCATCCCTGTCCGCATGTGCAAGCTGCAGTTGACCAGTCCAGTCTCCCAGCGGCACGCACTCTCAATCATTCACCCCTCACATGCCCTGCCCCCGCAGCTTCCGCCCGGCACCAAGAAACCCAGTGTCGCCGCAGCCCGCAAGCTGGCGCGCGGCCTGCAGCAGCAGGCACGCCTGGACCGCGCTGCGGGCGCCCCGCCCGCCGCGGCGCCCGGGCGCGCGGGCGGCGACGGCGGCAGCGGCGAGGAGGACGGCGGGTGGCGGGAGCTGGGCAGCTTGAGGGGCGGGACTCAGGAGTCTGCCGACCTGCTCGCCGCCCTCAAGCACCAGGAGCAGGCTGACAGGCGCGCGCCCCCACCGCCCGCGCCCGGGCCGGGGCTGGGTGTCCGTGCCCGGCGTCGGGCTAATGGGGGCGGGGCGTCCGCGCGGCGCTCTGCCTTGCAACTCTTGTGTGCCGCTCCCTCCACATGCACTGGCTGCCTGCGTGCCACCCATGCGCTTGACCTGGCGTATCATGCAAGCTCCCACAAACAGCGGAAGCCCTCCTTGGCTTCTAACCCCCTGGACTGTGACCACAGTGACCCATGCCCGTCCGCACTTGCATGAACGCACGCCAAGGCGGCACCATCCTTCGCCTCAATCGCCACCGGCAGTACAGATTGCACCACCGTAGCCACCACGACCGCAATCACCACCGCATCCGCAGCTGCAGCCACAACCACCACAACCACCATATGCTCACCACATAACCACCACATATTCATCACATAACCACCGTCCCCACCACGACAGGTACGTCACCAGCTTCCTGCGCCGCAGGGGCGGGTGGATCAAGTACCAAAAGCAGCAGGCCCAGGGCCACACCGCGCAGCAGCCGCAGCCCCACGCTGCGGCCCCCCAGCAGTTGCCACCCGTGCACCGGCCGAAGCAGCCCGGCGCGCCGCCCCACCGCGGCGGCGCCGCCGCCGGCCTGGGCGCGGCGGCTGCGGTGCCGCGCGTCAGGCTGACGCATGCGATTGGCGCGGCGCTCGGCGGCGCCGGCAGCGGGGCGGTCGGCGGTGGGCGGGGCGGCGCGATGGAGGAGGAAGACGAGGATGACGAGGCGGCGAACGGGATGCAGGGCGGCGGCGGCGGCTACGGCGATGCGGACGGCGGCGCATATGATGGCGCGGGCGGTGGTGGCGGCAGGGATTACTACTTTGACGAGGAGGAGGAGGTGGATGACGAGGACCTGCTGGCAGCTGCCATGGCGGGGTACGATTGACCAGATCAGCACCAGATCACTGCCAAGCCGGAACTGGGCCCGAGCGCATGCGCAGTTGCGGAAAGCGCAGCAGTGCCGCTAATTGAATTGCCGCTGCATGGTGCTTGCAGGGCTAGGGCTGGGCACCTGCGCTTTGACAAATACGGACGCTCAAAGGGTGTTGACCACCCTGGTTGTGATGTATGCTGTTTTTCCATTTGGTTTGACCAGTCGCAGCTGGATTTTAATCGTTCAATACAGCTGCGGCAGTTTTCGTACGTGAATTTGACATGCCCTAGTCTGTGCTGCCGGCTGACCTTGTAACACTAGAGGGCAGACCCTGCTTGTGCATCGTGATGGCAGGCCCTAGCAGGGCAGGCCCAGCCCCTGGGGGCAGGCCCCATCCCAGGGGCCCTGCTGACCTGTGCTTGTGACCGGTCTGCGGCGCTCTGTGTCAACAGAGCAGTGCTTTGACCCTTTCTGGGGCCACATGCGCATTCGAGGTGAACGAGTGACCTACGTTTTCCAAAGAACGATGCCCGCCAATTACATGTGATACACCCTCCTCCTTTCACGGCGCTGCGGCCTGGGGCCAGGAGGAGGCCTGGATCGGGCGCGTGAATGGCGCTCACCACAATTGCCACCACGGTTTGCGCCTGGTCTGGCGGTACATCCCCCGGCTACTGAGTTCTCCGTAACTGCCATAACCACCGTAAGCGCTCTGCTGCTGCTGCTGCTGCTGCTGCTGCTGCTGCTGCTGCTGCTGCTGCTGCTGCTGCTGCTGCTGCTGCTGCTGCTGCTGCTGCCCCTGCTGCAATCGCCAGTAGTACTCGCTCCACTCCCGCTCCCGCTCCGCCCGCAGCTCCGCATCAGCCCGCTGCTGCTGCTCCCAGTACGTCTGCCGCTCCTGTTCACGCTTGCGCTCCCATGCCTGCTGCTGCCGCTGCACTGAGTCGCTGGCGGGCGCAGCGCCAGGGACGGGTACCCTCTGCTGCTCACGCCGCGCTGCAGCGCCGTTGGCGGCGGCGACAGCAGCACTGGGGGCCCAACCCTGCTGCTGCTTTTGCTGCTGCTGCTGCTGCTGCTGCGGCTGCGACTGCGGCTGCTGCTGCGGCGGCGACTGCGGCTGCTGCTGCGGCGGCTGCGGCTGCGCCCCATAGACACTAGCTGGTGGGGTGATGCCCACGCCGCCACCGACGCGGTAGCTGTCAATCGTTGGCCCCAGCTTGGCTGCAGCAGCGTCGGCGCTGCGGGCAGCGCTCAACAGCTGCTGCGGGGAGAGGGGCCGAGGCTGTGGCTGCTGTCGTGTCTGCGGTGAGCGCGGTGTCAGCTGCTGCTGGGGCTGCTGCTGCCAACGCGTGGGGCTGCTGCTGCCAACGCGCTGAGGGGCAGACCACTGTGGCAAAGGCTGCGGCTGCGGCGCCGCTGACGGCAGCTGCTGCGCCAGCGGCGGCGGCCACTGCTGCACTGACGGCTGGCGTCCTTGCTGCTGCCACTGCTGCTGTGCCGGCGGCACCCATGGCTGTTGCCCCTGCTCCTGCGGCGACTGCTGCTGCGCACGCTGCAGCTGCGGCGGCTGCCGTTCCTGCGCCTGAGGCCTGGAAAACTGCTGTGAACGAGGTGCCTGCTGCCAGGCCCCTGGCCGCCCCATTGCCGGTGGTAATGAGCCAGGGGACACCAGCGCCTGCTGGGTCGCTGCCATGCCGCGGTCTGGCGGTCTTTGAGGCGCCCAGGAGTCGCGCCCCCCAGCGGATGGTGGCTGCTGCCCCTGCTGCGCCGCCTGTGCGCGCGGTGACCGCTGCTGCTCAAATGTCGGCTGCCGTTGCCGCTGCTGCTGCAACTGCTGCTGCGGCGGCGGTCCCCAAGGTGTCTCAGATTCCTCCTGTGCGACAGCTGTGGTGGCGGCCGGTGCTGCAGCCTGGTTGGTAGGAGGGACCACTGTGCCATTGACAGGGACCTCCGTGCCATTGACAGGGACCACTGTGCCATTGACAGGGACCACTGTGCCATTGCCAGCCCAAGAAGCAGCAGGCGCCGCCGGCTCAGTGCCACGATGACCTGCAGCTGCGGCCTCAACCGCCACTGCCCCGCCAAGCGCTGCATTGACAGCTGGTGGGGCTGCACTCAAATCTGGGCGAGCCGGGCTTGCAAGCGCTCCACCCTTCTGCTCCCGCTGCTGCTCCTGCTGCTGCTGCTGCTGCTGCTGCTGCTGCTGCTGCTGCTGCTGCTGCTGCTGCTGCTGCTGCTGCTGCTGCCCTTGAAGTGCTTGTTCAGCTGCAGGGGGCAGCACAGGACCCCCCCACCCGCCGCCGCCAGCGCCGATGACAGTCCCTCGGCCACCGGCGCCCGCGCCGGCACCCAGGCCGCGGGGCGGAGGCCTCAGCCCATACTCCTCCTCAAGGCTTTTCTGCACCTATTTTTGTGTGCAGGAGGTGATGCAATCATGTGTTCAACCCCACGGCACTCGCCAATGTACGGTATACACTTGATGAATGTGTAACAGGGTCGGCAACTCCGTCAGGGGCACGGCCACTTCATAGCACCCTCTTCAGGAAGCCCTTTACGCGACGCGCAGTCACATCCGCTGCGGCGACGACGTCGATACGTCCAGCCCCCTCCCCACCTGCCCCACGACGTCGTCCAGGCGGCTGAAGCGCGATGAGAGCGCCAGGATGTCGGGGTCGACCGCCAGGCTGGCCAGGCCGCGCTGGCGCGCGCGCGCCTTGGCGACCGCCTGCGTGCGCGGCGGCAAGCCGCCGGCAAATCACGCGTGCGTGTGGGTGAATGACCGGGCCCCCGGTTTGCGGCTGCGTGTTCGCGCGTGTGTGCGAATGCTGCCGCTCCAGAAGGTACCAACGGGGAACAGGGGCCATGTCGACGGGCGCACCTCAATCCTAAGCAGCTGCTCGCGCTTGGCGCGCCTCGCGTCCTCCATCAGGCGGTCTTTGAGGGCCTCCCGCCGCTGCTGCCGCTCCAGCAGCCGCAGGTGCAGCGCCTCGGCGTCGGCGCGCGCCACGGCGCGCGCGGCCGCCTCCCCTGCCAGGTCGCCGCCACGCTGCACACCGGAAGGGCCCAGGCCCGCGCTGCCGCTTTGCCGTGCGCGGCGCGCGGCTTCTTCCTGCTCAATGAGGAGGTCCCATGCATCTGGCTCGCGGCTCCAAACGCGAGGCGCTAGCAGCGTGCCATACGTGCAACGGTGCCTGGTGATGCTGCTGCAACTGGCGACGTTGCTGCGACTTGGGGCGGGACTTACGCCTCGCAGTAGCCGCCTATGGCTGCATAGATCCATACGAGCTTTCAAATCCAGCTCAATGCAATCATGAGCCGACCGAGCGAGCGTCAGGCAGTTCTGATCGTTCACAACACCAGGCAGGCGACTTTTCCCTTGTACGATTTGGATAAGAACGCGAGATAAGTGCACGACCTTCAGCACCAGCTGCCACAGGCGACCTAGTGACACAGCACATGCGCAGTGACCGGTGTGGCTGCGGTCGGTGGCCAGTCTGAGCAAGCATCAGCTTTCAAGTGTGCAGCCCAACCCTGTTGCTGTTGCCCGTGCTAGTGGCTGTTGCCGCCTCCATGCACCCTCATCATATCATTCAGCGACCTGGGCGTTACACAGTTTCAGTGTTGTCCGCCGCCAGCCGCACACCGCTGCACGCCAGCGCGCGCTCGCGGCAATGCGCGCGCTGCTCCAAGAAGCGGAGGTGCGGCCACTCTCTCGATGACACACTGACTAGTGTGCGGTGCAAGCTATATAGTATTCACTCTGCGGGCTTCAGGTTTGGGAAGCACGCCTGCGGGGGCAAATGAGGTTGTGGGGGGTCAACGCATGACACATGGAGACCAGAGGCGGCAAGCGAGATTGCAGCGACTAGGGAGCACTCCGCGCGATGGGACCGCCTCGTGTGGTGCGCACCCCGCCTCCCCGCTGCCTCTCGCACCACGCCACGCCACGAATGCTCACGTATAGGTCAGACTTGGGGTGCTTGTTTTCTGCATGCTCCCGCATCTTGGCCTCGCTCGTCTGGTGAAGAATGAAGCCACAGCACGCGGAAGAGGGGTGAGATAAAAGTTTTGAAGCCCCTCGCGCAGGTGCTGCGGTCTGCCTGGCCCAATGTGGACTGCCCGATGCGGCGCCGTCATCTCCGTCACCGTTAGCCGATAGCGACACATGCAGTGTCCTCCCACCCCCCTTCCCAAGTTCAGAATTACTCAATCAACTGCATCCAGGCCCCCGTGGTATGATGGGAAGGCTAGGAGCTCACCGTGCAGATGAAAACCTGCAGGCAGACATGGCACTGCGCGCACAAGGAGCGGGAAAGACAGGTTGGGCTGTCACGTTGCTGCATGCCCGCACTGGTCAAGACCGTGCCGTGTGCTAGTCTGGGCGTCTGCCAGGTCGCCGCAACCAACACCTCAGTGCCAGACACATGATCTGAGGCGCATTGTCCTGAGAAAAGCCGTGCATGCGTGCGATGCCGCACCTTGAGTGTCAGTGCGGCTGCGTTGGCCTTGAGCTGGCTGCCCTTTCCTGCAAGCTTGGCCATTGCCTCTTGCTGCAGGCCAAGGCAAGCAGACAGTGCATGACGGGAGAGGTGTTTGAGCGCGAACGAGAACAAAGAGCAGCTGCCATATGTGGGTGAGCAGCGCCAGTGAGCAGCACCGAAAATCCAAGGGCAGCGCGGTCGTCCTGCCGCCCGCCCTGTTGCCGTTGCGTCCTGCAGGGGGAACCGCACCTTGCGCGCGCGAGCCGTCGCCGACTTTTGCCCGTTGCCACCCCCCATTTTGTAGTCAAAGCTGCAGAGTTATGAAAAATACTGCAAGTATCCTGTGTGTGGTCTGCGACCTGCGAGCATGGGCGTGCCGGAGGAGCGGTCGGCGGCAAGCGCGCTGCCGGACGCCAGCCGATGCGCGGTGTGCTGGGCACTCCACCTATAAGTCTCAAGACAGAAACATCACACAATCAACGGTCGTGGGACGGCAGTCGGGGCAGGTTAGCGTGGAAGGGCCGAGCCATCCAAAGGCGGGCTCACCAAGAGTTCGGCAGGCGCGACGGCTTGGTAGTCTGTGAGCTAATGTACAATAATACCGTAACAAAGATCGTGCGGCTCGGGAACGAACTGCCGCATGCGCACCGCGCACAGAAGCTGCGTGGTTGGGCTGAAGTTCCTTTGCACATGGGCACTGCCTACCGGTATCCGGGTCGAGTCAATGCACGTGAACTCAAGTTTTACGCAGCGCCTCCTCGCACATCCCAAGACTGCCTGCGTGTCCACAGTGGTGATCTGGCTGGTCTTTCACCCCTACAGCCCCTGCCTCTGCCCCATGAGCAGGCCACTGCCTCACACACCAAGTACGGACGGCTCCACTCCCACCTACGCCCTGCCTACGTACACCTTTCCTGGGACGTCGCCTTTCGTAACGCCAGGGGCCGTCGCAGGTGTGTGTGTACCTGTTGCGGTTGCATTTCGGCACCCCTGCAGCTGGCCGCAATTGCTGAATTGAATGGCGGCTCGACGTCCAATGTCAGGTGCAGCTCCAGCGGCGCTTGGGACCTGGCCGGCGCCGCCGGGGGCTGCAAACAGCGACGGTGAGTTGGGCTCGCTCGAGTCCCGGGCCCATTGTCGAGAGGGCGCGCGGCGCTCCAGAGCCCCGGCAGCAGGGCAGCAGCTGCTGGGCAGGGTGCAGGCCCCGCAGCACGGCCTAGTGATCAGCTCGCCGGGCAGCAAGTCTCAAGCTCGCTGGGTGCTGGCCGCCCCTCTGCAGAGAAGAGGCCTTGAAAACGGTCGCTCGATTGCCTTCAGCCGCATGCTCTGCCATCACAAGAGGCTGCTGCCAGGGCGCTTATTGCTCCTATCCCGTCTACTGCCCCCCAGTGCCTGTGGAGGTGGTGCTGGGACAGCTGCGGGCGGAGCTTCAAAAAGTCAAGGACGACAGGCAAGAACGCGCGCGCGCGCGCGCGCGCGTGTGTGTGTGTGTGTGTGTGTGTGTGTGTGTGTGTGTGTTGTTGGGAGCGGGTACACGCATGCCACAGCCATTGTGCATGACCTCGCATGGGCTTCCTGTTGCACATGAACTTTCTTGTGCTGTGTTGTGATTGCCCACCACCCAAGATTTGTCCACGTGACTATTATGCAGCGCGCACATTTTGCTGCTCGTTGCTCCCCAAACTCCCACAATCATCACCTCCGCCAACACAGCTGGCAGTTTGAGGCGCCCCGTCACCAGGCGCAGTGACAGCACCACCACCGCAGCCCTAGCACCCCAAGCAGCTGGCCGGCAGCCGCCCCAGGCGGCGGGACCTGCAGCAGCGCCCAGCCGCTCGAATGGAGGCGGGCGGCGCGTGCATCCCCTACTCGCGTCGCCCCGAGTGGGCCGACATTGAGCCGCTGCCGCCGCCGCCGGGCGACGCCGGAAAGGTGGTGTCGATCCATTATGCGGAGCGGCACGCGGAGGCGCTGGGCTACTTCCGGGCGATATTGGCAAAGGTGCGTGGGGTTGGGGTGCATGGTTTTTGGAGGTGGGGGCAGGACTGTGGCAACTGCGGGTCTTTGCAGGGGTGGCGATGCGGCCAGGTTTCGTTGCAAAGAACGTTGTTGTTTCCCAGTCAGTGGCTCGTTGCGCCAAGCAGCGGCTGCATAAGTTCGCGGTGACCACCGGCAAGTTCATCTCCCTGCATACGAAAGCCCCCGGCCCCAATCCCTCAGGCCCAAACGCCCCTCATACCAACCCGCCCTCTGCACCCCGTGCACGCTGACCGCGCACGCTCCCAGGGTGAGAAGACCGCGCGCGCCCTCGACCTGACGCGCCAGCTCATCAGCTTCAACGGCGCCGACTACACCGCGTGGCAGTGGCGCTGGCAGTGCGTCGAGGCGCTCGGGGCGGACGTGGAAGAGGAGATGGCGCTGACAGAGTGGGTGCAGCAGTGTGATCGGCTGTAAATGAGCGCCCTGTTTCGGCTGTGGCAAAGACCTACGGCCGCAGACGCCTTGCACGGCACACACTGCAATGCTGCGTGCCACGTGGGTGTGCTGGATCCAAGGCTGCGGCCCTTACAGCGCTGTGTGCACGCAGCCCGCCCCCTGCCTTGTACCCCCATCGCACCCCGCGCATTGCCGATGGACGCCCCTATCTGTGTCGCATCGCTATCTGTGGCGTGCCTCTCCCCCTCCCGCCACAGGCGTGTGGCGGCCGATAGCGCGAAGAACTATCAGCTTTGGAACCACCGGCGCAAGATTGCAGCTAGCAGGGGGCCGGCTGCCGCGGCCGACGAGCTGGCGTTTGCTGACCGCGCTCTCGACTTAGACGAAAAGAACTATCATGCCTGGGCGCACAGACAGGTGCGTGTGTGTGCATGTATTTGTGTGTGTGTGTTCACGGGCATATGAATGGAAGGCCATGTGTTGATTCATGTGTAACTTGCGGTTGTGCAGCGGCCGCGCCAGTATGGAGTAAAGTGACAGGACTTTGGCGGACACAAGGTACTTTGCTGTGTAGGCTGCGCCTGCCAGCGACACATGACAGCCGGCCCAAATTCGCACCAACACCTCCGCCCACCGCTGCCCCTCTTGGGCAGGCCGTGGTGGCCGCCGCGGGCTGCTGGCAGGAAGAGCTGCGGTACAGCGAGGCGATGGTGGAGCGCGACGTGCGCAACAACAGCGCGTGGGCGCAGCGCGCGTTCGTCAATCTGGTAGGCTGCGCGGGCTGCCCTGCGCGCATTCCTGGGGCCGGTCTGCTTGACTGCGGCAGCCTGGCCTGTGGCCGTGTGCCCCCCTCAGGGCGTGCAAGCTCTACCTGGATTTTTCTGGTTGTGGCTTGTTTCCCGGCCTTGGCAGGGGTAAAGATGAGTGCATGGCGTTCTCCTTCCGTTAATTGCATTCCAACCAGCCGCTGCCTCCCTCGCCAGGCCTTGCTGGAGCAGCGGCAGCAGCAGCAGTGTAATGGCAGCAGCGGCGGTGCCGGCCAGCAGGAGCAGGAGCGCGAGCAGCAGCAGCAGCAGCAGCAGCAAGTCAGACAGGAGCCACAGGGCACACAGCTGGAGGC